TGCAATAAGTGCAATAAGGGATTGTTCAAAAAGCCAGACGTTGCTGACCAAGTTCGCAAGATTTGGATGTGTAGAGGTTCAGTAACAATTGCTTCATATCGTATAGTATTTGAATACAAGGCTGTATAAATGAAATTAGCAAAGCGTTTACGCCTTGAAAAATATTAGTTGCGTCGTCCGCACGACATGAATATACAATTTTACAAGATTTCCACATTAATTCTGTGGAAATTACAGCATATCTTAAGCAAACCAAACATGTATCAATATATTGACGGGAAGGGAAATTATTGACAATAATATTGATGATTAATTTAATTTAGCTTTATTTAGGAGGCTTTCAGCCTTAGGCTGGTTCGCCTCCAACTATATTGATGATGTGAATACAGAAATATTGTCAATATCGATGTTTTGACGTCAATATAGAAGGTATTGACAATGCTATTATTGTCAATAAAAAGCTTCGTGTAGGGTCCACTTAATGAAAGTAAAGTGGACCCTACACGATTGCTTTTATTGACAATAATCGTATTGTAAATACATTCATTGGTGTCAACACATCGATATTGACAATATTTCTGTACACGCTATTTTGAGGCTACTCAGTGACTGGGTAGATCACACTCATGTATGGAGTTGTCAAAAAATGAGTAAATGGGTGGAATCCACCCAGATTCTGGGTAAATAGTTCTGATATCAATTTTTCCGAAGTTCGAAATGGCGCAATTTGAAGTTGTGAACAGGCGATTTTTACGAAGTGAGTTGAAAATTAGTTCTTAGAAGTGAAGCAGTTGGTAAACTCTAAGAAATAGTTCGTTGGTATCAATAAATACAGAATTATCATTTTCATTATGTATTTTTTTTTTATATTTCCTGGACAAAACAATTTATACATAAGCATTCATGGGGCATTCATTCGTTTCTACCGAAATGGGTAAGGTTTACTCAGTTGTCAAATGTCATAATCTGAGTAACCGTTACCCTGTTTCCTCCATAGGCACGTTTACTCGAATTTGAGTAAAAGCATGTTTACTTATTTTTGAGTAACTTCCCTTTTGGCTGGAATGAGTGATTTTAATTTAACAATTAATTAACAAATAATAAAGGGTGGAACGGTCAAAAATTGGTCAATCATGATTAAGTGCACACTGATTATTGTATAAATGATCAAACTTTATTTCTTTTTGAAGTACAATGACTACAAAATACAGGAAAATTATTTGATTAGGCTTCCGATTTTCCAAATGCGAACTGTCGGGCTTTAAGTTTCACACCTTCCATCAGATTTTGTACCGCTTATGTTCCAACCTTATTGGATGCTGAACGTCAATTTTCATTGAATTGTTTCTCATTTCCAAATGTTTTCTGAGTTTACTTGAGGTTCCGCTAAACGATTGCCCAATATTTTTCAATTGAGTGCAGCTCCGGCGAGTTTGGACGGTTTTTGTCCTTGGGTACGACTTGCACGTTGTTGGCAGTATACCGTCACCGACAAACCGACATGACACTTAATTCTGACTTATGCCCGAAAATCGTAAATGGCCGATTTAAATCTGCAGTGACCCGAACTGTCAAAACCATACAAATTTTTGATCTAGATAAAAAATAATTTGTCCAGAATTGATCAGACCCGAACAAATTCATAACTTTTGCATGCGGGTTCATGGCTTAGCTAAATATTTCCCACGAACACGGAGCGAGATGTCAAGAGTGTGCTTTGATCAGAAATTTTATTGTATTTGCTATGGTCATTCATGTCGGTTAGTCGGTGATACCGTTCCTGAGCCATTTTTCCGTAGTGACAGGAAGCCAGGTCTGGCCAAAACAGCACAGAACAACTGAGTTTCTTCAAAGTAAGCAACAATCGTTTTTGCAAACATTTCTTTTCATAAATACTTTGGCTGGCAATGCAGTTGTCACGAAAATTTCGTTTTTCACTCGGGAACTTTGACAACTTTGTCTGCTTAAACTTATTTTGAACCTTTTATTTTCCGGTAGCCGTGTAAACTCTTGACCTGGGAGCTGTTTGAAATCTACCTTGACGTATATTTCATCGTTTATTTTAACGCAATAAAATTTCCCACGCAATCAATCTGCATGGGAATAATTTGGACTTCGGTTATGCGCGGGCAAAATTTTGATAAGCTGTCCCTCTAGCTTCGAAGCCATTTTGACAACTGAAAGGAAAATGGCAAAAACACAGTGGCGTTTCCCAAACCTCAATCTACCTGTGCACCAACTTTCAAAACATAAACAATCATCAAAATATTGCTTGCAATGGATAGATATCGAGTAGACTAGAAGATTAAGTGTATTTTACAACCGATTCGAGTATGAATATGGCATTAAATCTGGTTTTGAAAGTTGGTGCACAGGTAAAAAGTGAGGTTACGGAACGCCAATACAAAAACAATATAGAGGGAACATTCCGTACACACAGACCTACAAAATGAGGGGTGTTGAAGTTTTTTAAAAGCACGATTAAAAAAAATTCGCCAAATTTGAGTCAACCAATTTTTGACCGTTCCACCCTTTACTGTCAATAATTCCCCTCCGCGTTCATATATTGATACGTGTGGGGTTTGCTTAACATAAAGCACTTCGACCACACGATCACAAATTTTGTCAATACTCAAAAGAGTTGTCAATAATATTGATGACGAAAATATTGAAAAGTTTCATTTCGCGTTTCAATAGGGCCTATTAAGCACAACCCGCACTTAGTCTTTCTTAATCTAGCGCAGTTTAGCACCAAACGGAATGTTATTATTACTGATGGCTTATAAATTTATTTACCTTTCTATACGTACCGTAAGATTTGATAAAGAGAACCCAATCGTTGAGATTAATTAATTTAGCTTTATTTAGGAGGCTTTCAGCCTTAGGCTGGTTCGCCTCCGACCCTCGTTGAGATATTGTCAAAAGCCTAACACTGCTTCTTGACGCCAAACTTGACCTACGGATTCCAAACTCGGCCTAACGCATTGAAACGCCAATGAATTCACTTCGGCCTATCGCATGAAGATAAAAATTGATTCGGTCGGAGCGCTTCTTTTGTTTTTGGGAATAATGGGTGCAAACGTTCATATCACGCGTTCTCATTGACTTCGTTCCGTAGCTTATTAACTAAAGTATCGAACCAAACGCATAATTGACTTGTTAACTCTGAAATCATGGATTAATTTGAAGTTTTCTGCTCAATAGGCCGAAAATGGGCGATTAGACCGAAGTGGTTCTCTACCCTATTTCCGCTTATTTTCCCCTTCCGTTTGAGCATCTTTTGACAGGAAAGTTGTCATGTGTCTTGGATTAGGCAATCGGATAAATCAAATTTTGTGAGGAGCAGCCCTGTATTGTTAATCCAGCTAAAATATTGTTGGAAAGATGTATGTGAAAAATGAAAATATTGTCGGAAGTGTTGCCGAAACATGTGTCATGTGGGGTCCATTTAAGACTTAAGTTTTGAGCATTCAGCATGTTTCTGAGCGTTGTTTGAACAAAATTGAGCACTCAAGGACTTTGTTTACCCTCCTGACGATAATAGGCAAAGGTATTGCCGAAGCCCTCATTTACACTATATTGCTCAAATGAATGTTAATTAACAAAATAAACCTGTGGACCACACTTGAGGATTTTAGTAGAATTAATTGAAGCCCACCCCTTATACAAAATGTCATAATATGACGTTTTCATTAGAAAGTGTGACAGACAAAATTTATCGAACATTACAGAAAAATAATGCCTGCTGTTCTGAAAATGTATTACAGAATATTACTCTTGTTAGCAAGATGGAGCTCCAGCCTACATAGCAAATTGTATAGAGGGGTGGATGAACTTAAGGCGGTGATTAAAAAGTAATGAGGTATTAGATATTGAGAAAAACTCGCCTTCGTTACGAACTATTGGTTATAATGTCTATTTTAAGTTAATTTTTGGAGTGAGCGGTGAAGGGAACCCTTGATCGTTGTTGGGTCTCCACTCATATGAACGTAAACAAAAGTAATTTGTTCGAAAATAATCAGTGCAATAATAGAGCAGATGATTAAATCTCGATGAACATTTTACATGGTCCTATCTGCTTTGATCGATTCTCTTCATCGACTTTCTCTTTTCGTAACCACTGCTATGCAAACGTATTTTGCGCTAATTCTACCACATAGTTTGATAAAGGAGGTTCTTATCTAGTGTCAAAAACGTCAAATACAGCAGGGAAAGACTTTGTAGCTGAGTTATTGACGAAAGAGGAAGTCAATGAAGAGAATCGATCAATGCAGATAGGATAGGACCTTTTGAAATGTTTATCTAGAAATATGATCTAAAGCAGAGAAAAGCCATTATACTACATAAGAAGTAGTAAAAAGGGACTAATCTCACCATAGGTCGATAAATTCAGGTTTTCTTTCTACTTAAGAGTTGTTAGAAGGCCTAATAAAAAATTGCTAGTAACATAGTATGTAAATTACAGTACATTTAAAAGTTCGCTAAGAAATTGCAATTTATTCCCCAATTAGGTAGCGATCCATTGAGAAATATAATTTTGAATTTGTCAATTTATTAGCACCACGGCACGCTGCTTCGAATTAATCCACCAAACAAACTGCCGCCGCCTCCATCGATCTGTAAGCATTTCAATAGAAACGCATGGAGGCACGCAACCGCCCGCCGGTCTCACATTGACGTCAGTAAATTTCCAAACCATGCTTATTTCCGTGATGTTGACTGAAAAAGATTCGTTGCTATCAAGAGACACTCGTGCCACAAGTATAGGTATAATACCACACGCCAGCCAAAAAGCCACGACCGGAATTCAACAGGTCCCACATCTACCAGCATGGTGCAAAATCCCCACCCTACCATTCCGTTTTTGGCGCAGTAGCAAGCTCGGTAAACTCACACATCTTCCCCTACTCGTTATCACACTTCACGTTGCACCCACTAGATGCGACTGTCTTCCATCCCCATAACAATAACAGACAAAAAAAAAATGATGTGACACTCACCTGCTTGCCGCTTCCGACCCCAGTTGGTCCTTCTTTTTCGCTTTTCGCTTCTTTTTCGCACCGTAGCCGTAGTTGTCCCGCGCGGTCCAGCCAGGATACATTTCCATGTGCAACTGCCGTTCTTGGCGTGCCTTGTCGTAGTACACACTCTGTTCCTCCCGCGTCAGAGAATGCCACTTCCGGCCAAGAATTTGGTTAATGGCAGCCGATTCCTTCAGTGTGCATTCGGCTACCACTTTCGCTCGCATTTCCTTCATGTAGAGCATAAATGCATTCAGGGGTTTTTTGATATGTGGTTTGATGTTCTGCGGCTGCTGCCGGTCCGCACCGGAGGAGCATTTCTTCTTGGTACCACCACTGCTGGAACTACTGCTGCTGCCGGGTACGGTGCTACCACCGATCGAAGCCCGTGAATAGCGGTTTGTGAGTTCCTGGGGCATATCGTTGGATTTGCTACCGGCTGGGTGATGATTGGTTTGCCGTATACTGTAGTTGTGGGAAGTTTCCTGGGAAGGGGACACCTCCTGCTTCACCTGGCTGAGCACATTGTGTGGGTGTACCGAGTTTAGAAGGGACGAGGATTGGTAGCGTGAATAGAGGTCGCTAGCTAAGGTGGTGTAGATTTGAAGTGAGGAAGGATACGAGTTTCGGAAGCTGGGAGCGGTGGAGTACATTGAGGGAGTATGCCACGAAGGAGGCACCGGTAGCATATTGGAGGATAGTATGGGATAGGGATACTGACTAGTTGAAAAGGAATAGAGCGATTGTCGCGCAGAGAGACCGATCGCTTTAGAATCTAGCTGGTAGGGAATGATTCCACAATGTGCCGGTGGTGGGTTGGAGAGGGGGTCCTCGTTGCAGAAGAACTGCGATAAACCTATTTTACTCATCGAGCCCTGTATTGCACTAGCCGTCCCGCTGGAATACTGATAAGGCGGCAGGTATCCCATATTGAAGCCAGGTGAGTGGTCGGGAGAGTTTAGCTTTCCAGCACTGCTCCCACCGCTGGCACCGCCAGCATACGGTGGACTCAGATCCTGGCGGGAAGAGTTCTTAACCAGGTTCTCTGCACTTTCCGTCAGGTCGATCAGGTTGAACTTTTCCTCGAGCAGGTTCTCGGACGAGGCTTTCTCATCTTCGCGGTCGCCTTCGTCTTTGAATACTTTCACCTCATCCGTACTGCCGAGGTCGTCACCGGAGGAGCCGGAATGTGTATTTTCGTTTGTGTTTGGCATACTTTGGCCATCAACAGCACAAAACTACGCGTAAAAATGCGACTGCGGCTAGCACTGAACATAAATTATTTCGCTCCTTCGCCGATAATGGTGTAGGTCATTGAAAATATGGAATCTTTTTCTAACTTGATGACTGGATTTTAATTCGTCGTATTGCACTCTCTCACTACACTTGACAATCCATTTTCTTTGTGTGACACGAAATTTTTCCCGAGTGTCTCCTTCAAGGAGAATTGTAATAAAAATTCTGCAACTCTCTATTATTTATGGCACTATGGCAAATGACTTTTCTTCTCACACAGAACACCAACCCAGAAGAAGCATTACTAGAGCTAGGTACCCTTTCTACACAACACACACCATCCCTTCAGCTAGTGAGATTTCTGCAGCGTTGCACAACTTCTCTCCTTGCTCTTAAAACTAAACAAACATTTGTGTATATTTCTCTTCTGGCTGTGTAGTACTTGTCGTCGCGAAACTTACGACGTTGATGACTAGAACTTGGTTACGATATTGCACTTTTCTCCCACTACTGAATAATCGTACGGTATCTTCTCCCCGCTGCCTAGTATTGGCGGATGAAATATGGTACTTCTTTATGTTTTCTTCGAGTCACTTCTTTTCCGCGGCCATTCATCACATTCTAGTCACATCAAAAGAAGCTGTCCCCACTGGAACCTGTACGCGCGCGACTTTTCATTATCCAATTCCGCGAAAACGGCTTATTTTCAGCCTGAAATGTAATGAAATGGAAATAGAACAATTAGTGTGACAATTCTAATGACAGTAAATCAAAATAATAGTATGTTATATGCTGATGCGTTCTTGACAGTTTAGGAAAGAAAACATCACCAACTAGCTAGCTGCTACCCACCTTTTCATTTTACGATGCAGGGCACATTGCAGCACTGAGACCGAACAGTGTTGTTAAGTTGTAATGACGTGACGTCATGTGCTGCTGCTGCTGCCGCTGCGGCTTCCTTTGTGTTTCTGGTGCTTCTTCTAATCCCCGCCGGGAGGAAGGTGATAAAATGCCTATTCCACAAATCGAGACGGCATCAGGCGCGCGGTTCGTTTCTTCTGCTGCTATTTCCTTTGGAGTTTCTGACTTTGAATCGCGCTCGCAAACGAAGATGCGTTCTAAAAATAGCTCTGTTTTCTCGCGTTTTGCCGCGGCCGCCGCCGTTCGCCGTTGTCGTCGTCGTGTTGTTACTGCGAGACTCCGAGATGTGAACAAGAGTTTTGTGGCCTGTCTACAATGACGGTGCTACGCTGCTTCTGCTACTGCGGTAATGATTACGACGATGATGATGGCACACGCAGCGCTAACAGCAAACACAGCATATTAGAGACGAAAACGAAAAACGACCAAGTTTTCAACTTTTCCGAGAACTATTTTCCTTTCAACATTTTCTTCAACTCGCTTCTTGTTGTGCACCACTCATAAATGCGCTCTCTTTTTTGATTGCTTTCTTCCTGACCTAAGGAAGGAAAATTTTTCCTTCCACGGACGCTCTTCTCCGAACAGCGGAAAAACAAGGATGCCCAATTCCTCCCACCGTAAAGCACACGAAATAATCCACCCTGGGCGAGCCTTCATAAATTAAAACTAATGGCACTTTCTAATTCACTTTTCGATGCAATAATTGTTGCCGACTGAATCGAAAATATTATCATTCGTCGAACAAGGACAAGACTTTTCCGAGATGCCACCGCCGCGACTGCGAGACGACCGATGAAAAAGTGAAGAGTGCGTGCTGAAAAAGCAAAGTGACGAGGACACGGCGATTCACGACTCGATTTTGTGGTGTTTTTCCGGAGAGAAAAACCAAGAAAAGCAGTGAGAAAATTACGATTTTCTCGCGAGATTACTAACCACACAAACACAAACAAGGCAACTGTCACTTCCCGGTGGGTCACGATGATCTTTCAGATGAGGGGTAGTTTTGGCTCACCATTGTAACATGAATGGTGAGTTTCTTGGCTCACACGCCAGACGGTATCATTTGTAAAGGCGGTTGGACGCGACGTTGGACGCAGGACTTATTAGAACAAACAATGAATTATTCGCTGTAAGTTTGTCGTTGGTAACATTGCACCAACCTCCATCTCAAGAGCAAGTTTTTAAGCTGAAGTATAAATCACTATAGATAGAGTAAATGACGAAGTTCTTAAGCAATCAATTTTAGCCAAACGATGCTCTGAAACATGATGAATGCACCGAGGGGGGCGACACATCTAAATTTCAATTCTAGATGCTCAAAAAATCTCACACTAGCGAATCAATCTTCGAAAAATCATCTTTCATTTCTCGCATCTACTTGCATCGCGCTTCATCTTTTTGCAGGAAATCTTCAAAATCGACATAAATCTTCCTTCTATCTACTCAGAGTGCGTGCAGCTAGCCACAACAAAACACAATCTTTTCTGCATCGTAGATAGAGTCGTCCCCCTCGGAATGCACATGCAAAAACTGGGCGCTCAAGGACTTCACTGATGAATATTGGAAAACATATTGTCGAAGCCGTGATTTAGCCTACATTGCCGATAGATAATTCGATTTAAAATTTGGAAAAGGCACTAACGTTTCTAAGCATGAAAAACGAATTACTGCGTGATATATTTTTTTATAAAAGGGTGTGAAGAAAACCAAATTCCTTGATATTCCCTGATTTTCCATTAAAAAAAATCAAAACAGTGCCTATAACCATTTTTGGCAACACGACGCATCAGTTATTATTTTCCTCAAGCCTCAGATATAGGGGAATTTACGTATTATCGGCTACCTAAGCAGCGACCTTCTTTCTATAGCCTTTTTCTCTAAGGAACGCACACATATGCAGTATTGGTTTGTTTACAATCTTTTGCTGCCAGCTGCTCTAACAATTTTAGTCGAAAGAATTGTCAAAAACTGTTTTGAAACGCTTTTACAAAGCTCCAATCTTCTCTAGTGAGAGCGAGTATTGTCGGCAACCAGTTTTTCTTCGGCAACCGTTCCATTTGAACTGCATGTAAATCTGCTGTTCTATTATCGGCAACTCGAAATTAGCTACAATTTGTAGTGCGTGTGTTTCATTTCAAGAAAACCTTGCTAGATTGCTTTTTCTCAGTGGTAAAAATATAGTCAAATTGAAGCTGAAAGCATAAAGAATCATTTGCATGCATTCAGCGAAGTGTTTTCGTAAGAAAATCCAGTGAAAATAGTGTTTCAATTTGGGTTGCCGGAAATAGTCTGGCATGCCGAAGCCGTCATTTCCCCTATGTAGAGGAAAGTCGGAAATGACGGACATAGCAGGAAAGATGGACACTTGCTGCTTTAAATACAAATATTTTTTAACAACAGATTTTGCACTGCATTCTTTTAACATAAACAAACCAATTCATTTAGTTCAGGTTATATTGTAGTTATACATTTATTCTAACAAGTTTTTTTTTAATTTAAAGCAGTAAATGTCTATATTTTTTACAGTGTCCGTCTTAACTGACTCTCCCCTACCATAGAGGTAACTCTAAGACTAGAAGGTCCCGAAATAACTTGCTCAACTTTTTGGCTCAGCTCTGGTACTCTCTTCGGTCCCAAGCTAATCGATTCACCCCTCGAAACATAGGAAAAACCAATAACCCCTCATTTTATCTGTCAAACTTTCATAGCAAATCAAAACAAACATTGCGTAGTACAAGAACTTCGACTAGAATGGGATACGTTAATCGTTTGCTTGGGACCAATAGAGATCTCCAAGCGCAATCTCACGAACACTAAAATCCAAACATCCATATATAAAAATGAAAAAGAAGAAGAGCCAAAAACGTATCGCGATATCACAACTACTTAAAAAGGTAGCGCGCGGTCTCACGCACACTTTTGTGCATCTGGAGAACTCTATAGGCTAGTCAAGTAGTGAGCCAATTTAAAATCGTTAGTTTGGTATTGATTGTTGCCCCTACTACACTCAAAAAAATGAGCACGTCACTATAATGTGTTTCACACTTGATTTCGCGCAAATTGTTTAACACATATATTTCTTGTGTGAATTAGATGATACAATCTATTCAGTAAAGCCACAGACAAACAGACATAACACATTGAATATTTCTCACTGTAAAACATCGTCGCTAAAACATTACCGCCATCTGTTGAGTACACTGTGGTGGGTAGTACGCTGAACAGATGGCGGTAGTGTGTAAACGTCAAACGCAAGAGAACTAACTATGCGCGCCGCAGGTGGCAGTACTACCAACTACGATACTTTTAAATTGACCGTTAAATGCTTGTTCGATGAACAACTTGCGAGTGTTATGTCTGTTTGTCTGTGGTAAAGCTATAAAGCCATTTGTTACACATTCGGATTTCATGGACTTCAAATGTCAGTGTCAACAACCAATCACATAATTTTCGAATATTCTACTCTCAACATCATATCACAGACAAACAGACATAACACATTGAATATTTCTCACTGTAAAACATCCTCGCTAAAACATTACCGCCATCTGTTGAGTACATTGTGGTGGGTAGTACCATAGAGGTAACTCTAAGACCACTGGGTCCCGAAGAAAATCATTATTATTTTTGGCTCACTCAGTACCAGAACAACGGTCCCAAGCAGTCCCAAGCTATTTCACTCACCCCTGCATGTTCTGCATGAATCCACACACCCCTGATGTTATCTGTCAAACTTTCATAGCGAATCAAAACAAACATAGTGTAGTAATAGAATTTCAACTAGAATAGGGTACGTTAATCGTTTGCTTGGGACCAATAGGCTACTAAAGTGGTGAGCCAATTTAAAATCGTTAGTTTCGTATTGATTGTTGGTAGTACGCTGAACAGATGGCGGTAGTGTGTAAACGTCAAACGCAAGGGAATTGAGTATGCGCGCCACAGGTGCCGGTACTACCAACTACGATACTTTTAAATTGTCCGTTAAATGCTTGTTCGATGAACAATTTTCGAGTGTTATGTCTGTTTGTCTGTGATCAAATTGTCTATCATATATGAATTGAGTGTCCTGCATAATATTAATCTTTTTTTTTATAGTTTATTTAAAATGTTTATTAAGTTACAAAAGATAATAATACTGAACATTATTGAAATTCATTTTGCTTGGTCCAGACATGCCTCGTTCTTACTCCCGTTCTCCGTTACGGTCGAGAAATCACGCGAAAGGAACACATATTCCTCCAGCTGCAGTGACTACGACTGGAATCGCCATGCGGATGATCGTTCTTCAAAATTTCGTTCGACAACGACATTACGAATATTTTGACAAAAATTGAACTGCACCTTTCTTCTTCACCAAAGATCATCTCCTTGCCAATCCTGAATTACATCGATTCTGAACAAAAAAAAGTTGTTTAGGTGGCATATTGTGAACAAATTACCATCCCGATTTTGTTTGCAGTAAAATTAATCCAAACTCGGTTTCACAGTACCTTATCTGCTGCTTAAATCAAGGATGTATCAAGAAAATCAATCATAAATTTCTATTATGAATTACCTGAACAATATCGTGAAGATCACAGCTGCTTCTTCAGCAGCTAATTGAATGATAAAACCTGGGATAATACAGAACACAATTTGAAAACTCGAATCAACTTATGCAATTGACAGGTGGCAAACAAAGTTCTGTTGTTTACATTTGCAGAACAAGCAAATCATACCAAAATTCTTATGTTATGGATTTAATAAATTGTGCAAATGAATTCCGTGCAATGCACTCACATTGATATGGTAAGATTTTTCAACATTTCATAGCTCAAAACACATAAAACTTAAGTGTAAAGCACTTCAAATGAATGTTGAAAACACATCAAATTAATTTGAATGTGCATTTGAAAAATCAAGAGAATCAAACGTGTAGAATTTTTTGAGTGTAGTGTTTTCTGGGCATTTTTTCATGAAATACCACATGGACCTCTAATCCAGTACAATCTAAATTGAAAAAAAGCGTTCGATACATTTTTTTTTAGAATGCCAAAAAACCTCGCAAAAAACATAAATCGCGTGGTGCCTAAAACGGGAGGGCAACGCATTTTTCTAAATTCACAAATATTAACAGAGATCAGCGCCAGGTAATCAATTCAAGCAGTTTTTTTTTTCTTTGATTTGTTTTCCGTGCTGAGCACCAATGCTACCGACGCCAGGGAGCCAGCTTCCACACCTGGACCCTACCTATTGACCCATCAACTCATGAACCGGGGACCAACGGCTTTACTTCCCTTTCCGTGATCAGAGATGTTATGCCTTAGAACATTCCGGCGGCGCCGACTGGGATTGAGCCTAGACCTGCTGGGGTGAGAGGTAATCACGCTTACCACTACACCACCGGCGCCGCTAATTCAAGCAGTAACCGGGATGTTACTATGATTGAAAGCGATGTGTGAAGAAAACTGCAACCATCTCTACATAAAGGCGAAGAAAACATATCAAGAAGACTGGCCACTCTTCAATTTTCTCATACGAGCGCTATGAGACCGACACAATCGCGTCATCTGCCGTGCAAAGGTAAATGCTTCGAACGAATTTGGTAGCAAAGATTACAACCTCGGAAGAAAGGTTTGTGTATTTGATCATATTTCTATGCAATACTTCCACCTTCACTCGAGCGCAGCGCTACCAACAATCAATACGAAACTAACGATTTTAAATTGGCTCACTACTTGACTAGCCTATCCCAAGCAAACGATTAACGTACCCCATTCTAGTCGAAATTCTAGTACTACGCAATGTTTGTTTTGATTCGCTACACGGCGAATGAGAACGACCCAAGCGACAGATACAGTAGCGCCATAGAGGTAACTCTAAGACTAGAAGGTCCCGAAATAACGTGCTCAACTTTTTGGC